TACATATTTGCACACTGGTGTTAAATATTAAAATAATTAATATTTATTGGCCAGAACAGATGATGATGGTGATTCTTAAGTAATAAAAGCAAGCTGTGGAGAAATTGATGCCTCAGTTTTTTAAAGTGCACTTGAGAGAGATACTATTGGAGAATGTTATTGATTTGTTTACCTTTCTTTGTGGGTTGAATGATGGCGATAATATAATTTGGGAAGTAAAAATACAATTTAAATCTGTACAATATAGCATAAAATATAACTGTAGAAAATAAAACGTATTCATAACATTAACTATACTTAGGGACAGAATCTGAAGCTAATATGATAAACAAAATTGATTTGATTGAGGAATGCAGCTTTGTATTTCTTTAATTATGCTCCATTTCTGTTCTCAATAATATAAAATCTAATACATGAAAAACAAGCAACAAAATAAAGGAAAGACATGGATCAGAAATCAAACCAAAATTTATTCAAATTCTGATTCAATTTCTCAAATGTTCACTTTAAATGTTAGGGGAGATTGAAACATGCACCATTGTGTTAGTATTTCTATATTAGAAATCTGAAAAAATACCTATTCAAATGATGAGAAGAATATCAAAGTATAAGGAAGTGGTTTATTTGCTGAATGAATATACATATGAATGAGGCATAGTGCTAGCACAGAGTCCATGCAAGAAAATATCATTGTGTACATAAGCTCATGAAGTAGACAATACACAAAAAATGAAAATATAGTTAGTTCTTGGGTGTATCAGTTATCTTTAATCTGTGTTGTCACTGGCAATGACTTCAAAATACACTGATACACTCCTTTAGGGGGTCAGGTAAATCACTCATGTAGATTTGTAAACTTTATTTAATTCAGCTTATTTATTAGGAAGTACATATAAACCAAAAGAAACTGGAGAGTGAGGATCTCAGGGTGGATCTGGAATTACTTGGCATTTTTCTCCTGGCATCTAATTAGAACTATCCCCAAAGACCAATCCATCCCTGAAATATAAAATATTAAGTAGACCTCATTGAAAACCACACCCAGAAGGGACATTTTGTTTCTTCATTTAGTGTCGATTCTTGTGATACAATTTTCATTTGTTATAATCACTTATTTATTTATTTCCTGTCTCTTGTCTGGTGTACCTGTGCTCTAGGGTTCAAACTTACTTATCTTTCCCGCCCAGTGACTACTATAAAATATATATTACTAAATTTCTAGTTAATTTTGCTCGATTTTATTTACCTCTGCAAACCTACTTTTGATTCCAAATCTGGCATGATTTGTCTTATTCTTAAACTATATATTTTATTTTACGACATGAAAAATTACTTGGGATATTATCTGGGTACAATATTTATTTATTTTTATTGAAACAAAGAAGAGTATAAAGAGATATAAGAGAAAGTGTTTTGTCTAGGGGAAAAAAAAGAATTAATGAAATACTCTTACTTACGAATACCATAATTGATCTAAGAATATTAAACAAAAGTTACTGAACCCATTTCGTTAAAAAAAAAATTAAAATATTGTGGGAATTTTACATTGTTTACTAAACATTCTCTTTAGGGCATCTTTTACTTCTTTGTTCCTTAGACTATAAATCAAAGGATTCAGCATAGGGATCACCAGAGTATAAAACACAGAAGCCATTTTATCAATACCAAATGCATGGGTGGACTTAGGCTGCAAGTAAATAAATAATAGGGTCCCGTAGAATACAACCACCACTGTCAGATGGGAGCCACAGGTGGAAAAAGCTTTGTACCTCCCCTCAGCTGAATTCATTCTAAGGATGGCCATGAGAATTAACAGGTAGGATAAAAGAACAATCAAGAGGGAGGAGAGCAAATTACAACCTGAAAAGATCAAAATGATCAATTCTAATTCATGTGTGTCAGAACAGAGCAAGGACAGCAATGGGAGAGAGTCACAGTAAAAATAGCTGACAATGTTAGAGCCACAGAAGGATGATTTAAATAACTTAATTGTGAGGAATAGGGACACGAATGTGCTGTATAGATAGGCAGTAAGTACTAGCAACCAGCACACTTTCTCTCCCATGATCACCATGTAGAGAAGAGGCTTGCAGATAGCTACATAGCGATCGTAGGCCATTGCTGAGAGAACAAACAGCTCAGTGATGATGAAAACCTCAAAAGATGCTAGCTGGGTGGCACAGCAATTGTAGGAAATTGTGTTTTTGTGGACTACAAAGTTTACCATCATTTTAGGACCAATGACAGTGGAATAACCAAGACCAGTAATTGACAAATGTCTGAGAAAAAAGTACATGGGAGTGTATAGTTTGGAGTCCAAATAGGTCAAGATAATTATGCCCAGATTTCCCATCACTGTGACCAAGTATATGAAGAAAAAGATTCCAAAGAGTGGTACTTGAAGCCTAGGGTTGTCGGTGATGCCCATGAGAATAAATTCGGTCACCTTGGTCACTGTAGTGTGATTGTGTTTCTCCATCTTAGTAATCTCTGTAAGACATAAAATCAATTCTTAGTACATTTGAGATGTTATCTTCTGAGAGAACTTAAAAAACTTAATATATCAGATATAGAGACATTTTCTCTCCTACAATTTCTAAATAGAGACACCTCCCTCCATCAGTCCAAAGCCATAGATACCCATGTACCTTCACTGAAACTTTGCTAAAGTATAATTAAAAAAGGACAAGATTTGGTAAAGTGATTGTTTTGATACAGCTAACATGGCCTACTTCTTTTGATCTGAGGTCATTTTAAGGATGCCCTAAAGCTATATATTATATTTAAGATTTCTACACATTTCAAGTCATTTGTAAGATCAACCTGAATGGGAAACCTTACCTATTACCAATCATTACAGCTTTTAAAATAGGATGATATGAAGTGGTTTTCCAAACTGTTGAGAGAAAAATCAGGTGGTAATTAGAAAATCTCTGACCATTAAATATATGTTTCAGTTCAACTCACTATATATTCATATTTTTGCAATGAGTGAAAAATATAATGTTTTAATATTTTAAATTTAGACTTTTTAAGCAACAGCTCAGTGTGAATTTGCCACATCTGTCATTTCTGCTTAGGAGATCACGTCAGACATTCCTCTTCTACACTCAAAGAACCGGCCATTCTGATTATTCATAAATATTTAATGGTGTTCCATGTGAAGAGACTCCATAGAAAGAATAGGAATGGATAGCAAACACCAATAAAGAACTGATTACGTGCAAGGCACTTTTCTAAAAGGATTAAATTTGGTAAGTCACGTGAGCGACACTATATCTCCAGGAAAGAAGCAATGTTACTGCTATTCCTATTTGTGTGTTGAAGAAACTAAGGCACAGAGAGTTAAATAACTAAGGTCACTCAGCTAATAAATTCTGGAGTCAGCTTTCAAATGCAGGCAATATGCTTTTACTGTACGTTCTCCTCATTATGGCCATCCTAAGCAGACAGGTGATGAAAAATGGAACAGGAAGGCACTAAGTAAATAGACCAATATCACTGTTAGAATAAATAACCGACACAGCTAGCTAATTTGAAAATTTAGGTGCTCTAAATAGAGCACAGCGCAGATTCTTAGAGATTGCATAAAACATCTTCAGTGCCCAGTAATTCAACTACTGAAGAAAGGAAAGTAGGATGCCAAGGGAGAAAGAGTTTTGCAGGATACAAGGCCCTTTAAAACCATTGGGCATCACCTGATTGAAGCTGTATGTCCTGAGAAGTTTCAGACTATGCTTTCTACTCACCTTAATGAAGAACGTGCTTTGGCTTCCTCCTTAATCAATCCTCATTGGTTGTCGAAAGAAAGATTTAAATGTTTGTCTATCCCTTTGAGACTCATTGTGCTGAGGTTTTACTCTGATTAAAAAATAAACACATTGCACATGATTACCTCAGGGAGAATGTCTTGTATATCTGGTAACTATTCTTAGAAAGTCCCATTAAACAAAAATCAAAGGTATTTTTTGCCAGGGTCTAAATTACACAACATCACTAAGTTGGACATCAGAAATACATCTTTGTCAGTATCTTATGTTACATTCTATCATGCAAATAATAGGTGTAATACTTACACACACACACACATACTAGTTGAATAAATGAAAGAAGAGCTTCCAGAATAAGACTATGCGATATTCAATAATACAAAATCCATTACTGGATACAGAATTCTAGGTTAAAATAAGATAAAATGTTGTGAATTATAATGTTTGGGGCCAGAAATCTGTGACTGTTATTTTCCTTGTTCTTCTGTATGTTTATCTTTTAACTCTTCCTGGTGTTATTTATTTATTTTTATTTATTAAAATATTAGTTTATTTTACATGTATATTTTTGTCTCTCTGTCTTTGCCATTTGTCTGCTTATGGCTACTACTCTGCCTTAGCTTAATATTGCATACACACCTTAAAACTAAGCAAAAGATGGAGTTCTATATTTAATAACTGAACAGGCATTTTGAACAACATGTTCTTGACAAAGCAACCTAGACAATATTTATCAGATAAAATTAGGAAAGTTCTCACTCTACATAATAAAAAGAACAGCCAGATATCAACTGTTACAGAAATGAAATGAGATGGAACATTTTAATAAAATGTTTAAAAAGTTTTCTTAAAGAGACTTCTTCTGCTATCAGAAATCTTGAATAGCATCCTGGCCAGTCATCAGAAGCAATTCTTTATGTAATTCATGATTTTAACTTCCACTTTGTGAAAAGAACTACACTTTTCTATATTTGCTTGCATTTTTGCTTTGATGTCTTCTATAGAACAAAGTTCTTTTGCTGTTTTAGGAGATTTTTCATTTTTTAAAAAAAGAATTCTTGACCTTTTGATCTTAGTGTTGATGGTTTGGGTCTTTTCTGTTCTGGTTTGCTTTTTTGTGCATTTTTTGCTGGAATATACCACACCGAGTTCTTCCTGGGAGTGTTTCTTCAGTTTCTTCATTATCAAAATCATCATCATCATCTTCATCATCATCATCATCTTCATCAGCAGCAAGTTTAACTTTTCTCTGTGGATCCTTATTACACCTCACAGGGACAATCACTTCCCAATATACTTAAGGTTTCACATCCTTCTCCTCTTCATCATCTGTCTGCTTTTAAAGATTTATATTTATCATTTATACCATTGGTTCTTGACCATATACTACCTCCTGAAATGGCTGAAGAGCAGCAGATTGTTTTTTGATATAGTGATTGTGTGTATTCCTTCCATCGTCTTCTTCTTCTTTTTGACTTTTTATTGAGATTTGAGTGAAAGCTTGCAGAGCAAATTGGTTTTAAATTCAGAATTCATACATATTTTCCTTCATGACATTGATTGTAATTCCCACAATTACACACAAGAGTGTGTAACAACACTCTTCTCACTTCATCCCTGTGTTTACTATTTCATTAATCCATCTATCTCTTTCTGCCTTCTGAACTTTATCCCTAGGCAAATGTTGTCCTTTAGTTATCATATTGTTGATTCCTCTAAGGGATGTGCAGGAGCTCTGGTAGCATAGTGCTTAAGACACTTGACTGCTCACCAGAAGACTGGCGGTTCAAACCCACCAGCCACTCCTCGGAAGGAAGGTTGGGCAATTCTACTTCTGTAGTGATACTGCCTCGGAAACCCAAGGAGGGTTCGCTATGAGTCGGGGTCTACTCGACGGCAAACAACAACAACAACAACAAAGGGATGTGCATTTCCCTGGTGTTACTCTTCACTGTGTAGACCTGTCTATTGTTTATGTGAAAGTTGAGTCACAGGGATGAGTTCAGTCACCCTTCAACCCTGGAACTGAATTCTATCTTCTTTTGATGATTCCTGAGTCATTCAACTTATTGCCCACAGAATCTTTCAATACTGCAACTTGAAGCTTGAATTTTTTCTTCAGTTCTTTCAAGTTGGGAAATGTTGAGTGTGTTCTTCCCTTTTGGTTTTCTAACTCTAGATCTTTGCACATTTCATTATAATTTTTCTGAGAAGCTTGTGTATATGAAGAACACTGCATCAGGATTGGAGGAAGACACAATAACAACGAGGTGACAACCTTGTTTGCTGAAAGGGAAGAGGATTGAAACACTTACTGATAGAGATCAAAGGCCTTCACTATGGATTATACATCAACAAAAAAGAAAACTAAACTCCTCACAACTGAACCAATAAGCAACATTATGATACACGCAGAAAAGATAGAAGTTGTCAAGGATTTCAATGTACTTGTATCCACAATCAACACCCATGGAAACAACAGTCAAGAAATCAAACAATGGAACTTCTGGCAGGATAATGGAATGGGCAGGCAAGCTACAGAGACCTTCTGCAACAGAGAAATGAGAAACCAATTGAAACAGATGCAGAAGATAGTCCTGGAATCCTGTGCTTTGAAGAGAAGGACAAAATGGATTAAATACCAACTAGAAGAAGCTGTGGACTGTTGTCATTACCACTTACTAAAGAGACTATCTCTTCCCCATTAAATAAGTTTTGGTCCTTTGTCAAAGATCAGCTGTCCGTAGGTGAGCAGATTTACTTCTTCATTCGCAATTCTGTTCCACTGCTTTATGTGTCTGTCATTGTACCAGTACCAGGCTATTTTAACTACTATGGCTGATGGCTGTGTAGGGACATTCTTCCATGGATCTGGATTCTGTTGTGTTGCCTAAAGCTGTCCATGAGCGAATAATCCACAATTCTTCCTGGAGATCTTGGATTCATCATTCATTGGAATCAGTAGCCTGCCAACCTTGAGCTCCTCAGCCCCTGCAGCAGCGAGAGTAGGGAAAAAGCCTCCAGCTTGACATTTGATCCAAGAACTTTGGACTTGTCAGCTTTTATAAGGGTGGTACTTGCCAGACCTTTTTCCATATTTTGTTCCCACCAAGAGGGCCCACCAAGAGCAGTGGTGGAGAGAGAAACCTCCCCAAGAGCCAGCACCTGGAATTCAGACTTCTAGCCTTCAGAAGATATCCAAGTAGCCCCAAGGACACTCCGGACCTGGACGACTGAAAAGGTGCGACATTCCCCTTGTTACTCTTATACCCCACACCTGCTTGGTGAACAGAGGTTCGGCCATGCCCCACTCCCACCCACCTTCTGGGCCCACAGGAACTCCATCCTATTCTGTGTGCTTGGATGGAGCCTGGGTGCCCTGCCCTGCCCTTCTCCAATTTTTTTTTTTCTCTTTTTCTGGTTTTTAGTTTGCTTGCTTTTGTCTGTTTTAAAACTACTACTATTATTAATACTTTTGTCCTTTTTACTATTATTCATCTTCCAGGTCTTAGTTTTCAGCTTTTTTCTTTTCCCTGTTTCTGGTTGCAAAATATTTTTCTTCTTTTTTTCTCATGGTCAACCCCATTCTTTGTTTTCCTTTATGTATTTTTTTCCTATTTTTTTCTTCGTTACTCTCCTTCTCTGCCTTTTTTCTCTTATTGCCCTATCCCCAGATATTACAGGTTTTCTAGTTGTTTTTCCTGACCTT